CTTATCTTCGTCATCTGATGAAGAGTCGGACACCCAATTTTCCTTTTCGGCCATCAAGCTTCGCTCTTTTGTATTATACTTGTATTTGTTCTTGTAGTAATCGGCGTCCTTGATCAGGCGTCCTTTGCATTCATTGGAGAAATGACCAATTTTTCCGCATCTGTAGCAGCGAAGGTCATTTTTYCTTTCTTCCTTGTCCTCTCTCCTTTCTTTCCTTTCTTCTCTTCTGTCATCCCTTTCTTTTCTTTCGCCTCTTCTGTCGTTCCTCTGATAGAATTTTGATGGTTTTCTATCATAAGAATTCTGGAAATTTTCCTTTCTGAACTCCTTTTGCTCATAAGGTTTTCTAATGAACTTCTTCTGAAATTGTTTTGTAATCAGGGCCAATGATTTGGCGAAAGCGTTGATTTCATCATCTGAATAAGAGGTTTCCTCTTCATATTCTGATTCAACCAGTAGTGCTTTCTTGCCTTTCTTCTTGTGTTCCTTGGCAGACGTCCTTGATTTGTCAACTTCATCGGCAGCCAAAGCAAGAGGTCCTCCGATGGATACCTTTTTCTTCATTATGTCGCTTTCTTGAGCTGCCAGAGTTCCATATACATCATGAAGAGACCGGCCATCTAAGTCATGATTAGCTTGCAAGGACATAGATAACTGAGTCCATTCATCGCCTAGACTTTTTAGGAATAAAACATTGTTTTCTTCCTTGGTTCTCATAATATCGTTTCTTCGACATTGATTTATCAATGTGTTGAAACGGTCATAGGTCTTTTGTTTGGGTTCATCTGGAAGGGCTTTGAAGTTGGTGTAATCGTTGAGACACTGAGCTCTACGATTTTTCTTCGTCTTTGCTCCTCCTTCCAGTTGACTAGCTAATTCGTCCCATAGTTCTTTCGCAGTGGAGCAAGTGTCGAGAGATTGAAAATTTTCATTGGGCAGGGCCATTATTAGCAATCGCTTGGCCTTTCGATCGGTCTCGACTCTTTCTTTGTCATCATCGTCCCAGTTTCTTTCTTCTTTCATCATATAGTAGGCTGGTATTTCGGCTGTGGTGTTTGTTGCCGGAACTCTTGGGACGAGAGTTTGAGGGATGTAAGGACCCTCCTGTATGGATCGTAGAAGGTTCCTGTCCATCCCTTCCAAAAAATGTAMCATCCTRATCTTCCATTGAGGATATTCCTCACGTTGAAGAGTTGKAGGTTTTGTGAGAGAACCAACATTATAGGCGGAGTTCCAGTTGGCCATTGAAGATTTGGAGAAGAAAAGATGATGTTTTAATGAGAGAGGATTAAAAAGGTTTGAGAGATTTTAGATAATCGTTTTGATT